GACCTGAGCCGAAGGCAGATGCTTAATGACTGAGCCACCCAGGCGCCCCGGAGCAACATTTCTTAAGATCGGCTCCATTGGGTCCTGGGCAGCGTCTTTTGGTGTGAATCAGGGCTCTTTGGAGGGCTGGGCCATGTGAAGGCTCGCAAGACCTGGGACTGGGTTCCAATCCTGGCCCTGCCACCGCCGTCGTGGGTTGAATTGTTTCTCCCAAGGTACCTTCGCTGGAACCTGGGAACGTGACCTTCTTTGGAATAAGGGTCTTTGCAGATGTACTTCGATTAAGGATCTTGAGATGCGATCATCCCGGAGCAGGGGAGGCCCTACAGCCCATGACAGGTGTCCCTGGAAGAGACAGAAAAGGAGAAGACACAGAGCCACAGAGAAGGAGGCCACGTGAAGACCCAGGCCGAGATCGGAGTGATGCATGTGCCAGCCAAGGAACGCGAAGAATTGCCGACCACCGCCAGAAGCTAGGAGAGAGGCCTGGGACAGATCCTCCCTCAGGGCCTCTGGAAGGGGCAACTCTGCCCACACTTTGATTTCAGACTTGTGGCCTCCGGAACTCTGACAGATACACTTCTGCTGTTTTAAAATTTTTTTTTTTTAAGATTTTATTTATTTATTTGACAGAGAGAGAGCGAGAGCAGGGACACAAGCAGGGGGAATGGGAGAGGGAGAAGCAGGCTTCCCACTGGGCAGGGAGCCCGACGCGGGGCTCGATCCCAGGACCCTGGGATCATGACCTGAGCCGAAGGCAGACGCTTAATGACTGAGCCACCCAGGTGCCCTGTTTTTAAATTTTTAAAAATATTTTATTTATTTGAGAGAGAGAGAGAGCACCCGCGAGCAGGGGGAGGAGCAGAGGGGGGTAGGGAGAGAATCTCCAAGCCGACTCCCCGCTGAGTGCAGAGCCCGATGTGGGGCTCGATCCCACGACCCTGAGATCACGACTTGAGCTGAGACCAAGAGTTGGACGTTTAACCGACTGCACCCCCCGGGCGCCCCACTTCTGCCGGTATAAATCACACAGTGTGTGGCCGTTGGTTACGGCAGCCGCTGGAGTGGCTGTGACCCACTGTACAGGGGAGCCTCGGCGAGCCTGTTTTCCTCTCTGTAAAATGGGCATAAACAAGGCCTGTCAGGCCCCTGATGTGAATGAAAAGACAGCAGCCTTTTAACCAATAAGGCAGCAAACGTCCGTGACTGTGACTGTCACCAGAGGCCATGGGCTGGCCGGGGGTGTTTCAGGTAATAACAAGAGTAACAGTGGGGCGCCTGGGTGGCTCAGTCGTTAAGCGTCTGCCTTCGGCCCAGGTCCTGATCCCAGGGTCCTGGGATCGAGCCCCGCATCGGGCTCCCTGCTCTGCGTGGAGCCTGCTTCTCCCTCTCCCGCTCCCCCCGCTTGTGTTCCCTCTCTCGCTGTGTCTCTCTCTGTCAAATAAATACATAAAATCTTAAAAAAAAAAAAAAAAGAGTAACAGTTAAGGGACACCTGGATGGCTCCGTGGGTTAGGCGACTGACTCTTGTTTTCGGCTCAGTTCCTGATTGATCTTGGGGTCATGAGAGCGTACCCAGCGTGGGGCTCCGCACTCAGGGCGGAGTCTGCTTGGAGTTTCTCTCTCCCTCTCCCTGTGCCCCTCAATCCCGCCCCCCTACCCCATGCTCTCTGTCTCTCTCTCAAATAAATAAATAAATCTTAAAAAAAAGAGTAACCGTCAAGTGCACCCTGCTGTGTACCAGGCACTGTTCTAAGAGACTCTTGCTGCCATCAAACAACACATATTTGTTCTCTTACAGCTCTGGGGGTCCCAGATGCAGAAGCAACCTCGTGGGCCCAAATCAAGGTAGCATGGCCACACTCCCTGGGGAGGCTCTAGGGGAGAGTCCGTCTCCTGACCTTTCTGAAACATTTCCCAGCTGTATTCTTTGCATTCTTCGGCTTGTGGGTCCTTCCTCCACCTTCAGTGCCAGCCACATAACATGTCACCCTGTGTTCTGTGTCAAATCTCCCTCTGCTTCCCTCTTATAAGGACCCTTGGGATTACAGTGGGCCCCTCCAAATGGTCCAGGATCATTGCCCCATCTCAAGATTCCTTTTTTTTTTTTTTAAAGGTTTTATGTATTCGACAGAGAGAAAGACAGCCAGAGAGGGAACACAAGCAGGGGGAGTGGGAGAGGGAGAAGCAGGCTTCCCGCGGAGCGGGGAGCCTGATGCGGGGCTCGATCCCAGGACTCT